GCTGGGGAGAGGGAGGTCTGGGCCTCCCTTCTGAAGCTGCTGCCCCCGCGACCCGACCCCGGATAGGCGGAAGAAAATGGATGGATGGATCATAGTTTCTCTTTTCAACTAACCTAATTCTCTTTTTTAATTTGGCAACATTGCCTGTTTGAAAGTGCTTGTTTCAGTTACGTTACTTGTTGGAGTTACAGGTTTCCATTAAATAGTAACTTATACTTTAACCASTACAGATGTACACTTGGTTTATTTAATCCAGCTAAGGATCATTATCAACAGATTGCTTTCTACATCTTAAATTAGTGTGGAAAATGTAATTGTATTAAGTACTGATTGAAGGTTTATGATGTTAAATGTGAATTATACAGTATTCCCCTTTAATYGAAGAGGCTATAATGACTTCGTATGAAACCAGTGGTTAATTATCAGTGTTGTGGTCTAAAAAAGCTATAAAGTCATGACCTACTTTGTTAATTAGAGCATTAATCTTGACCAGTTGTCTCGGCCTTTTTCTGTCTCGGGTTTGTTTTTAGAGCAGAGAAGGAGCGAACAGACAGGCTGAGTTATAGATTTTGTTGAATTGTTTCTGCACGGGCCGCTTCTCAAGGGCAAGAGAATGTATTGTCCTGTTAAGATTTAGTTCCCTTTTAAAATAACTGCAATTATGTGTGTCGCTCTCAGAGGAACTGTGAGGCACGGCACGGAGCAGGAATGGGTTATTAGTGGGAATAAACTTGTATTGTTTGTTATATTTAACTGAGTATATTAGAGTATTTCATGACAGTCCCCCACTAGCTTGGCACAACCAGAAACTGGATTCTCTGTTTATTCTTCACGACCAAACTGCTCCTTCAGGTTAAACAGATGCTGCGTGTGTTCAACATTGTTAATTCAAACCAGGTATCCTGAGGTTTGGTCTGGCTTTGACTGGACCTTTCCAGAACATTTAACTGGTTCTACCAAAACCACTGGAGTGTTGCTTCAGCTGTGTTTAGGGCCATGGTCCTTCTGGAAGGTGGACCTCATCCCAGTTCCATACCACTAGAAGACGCCAAGTTTTTCTCAAGAACTTTTCTAAATTTACTCATTTTTTCTTCTATCCTCGTCCTTCGTTGATCTCCTGCTACTTAGAGATGTTGAGCAGATATTGCTTCCCTCTCTGGCCTTTGTAACCAGCAGTTCCATGTCTTCACCACAWTAACCGTGTTTTCATCAACATTTTTTATGCGCATTTTGAAGTATCGAATTAAAAAAGCTGGGTGGAAACAGCAAAATTCACAAAAACGTCCTCAATTTTGCAAAAAAACGTTTTTACTCTCGCTTGAGGTGTTTTTTTGTTTTTTTTTGTATTTTCTGAAAAAGTGTTGATGTGCAATGGGGAGATGGAAACACATTTTGCAGAAGAAGTTCTGACATGGCGAACATTTACCTCGATCAGCTGTTCCTGCTGTCCAGTAACTGTAGCGGCTGCAGCTGGACCCTCCTCCRGCTGTCMGCATTTTCCTCAGGGTTCCTGTGGATTAGGGCTGCCACGATTAATCGATTAGTCGACGACTAATCGATAATTAAAATAATCGATGACTAATTTAATAATCGATTAATCGTTTTCTTTCCTTTTTTTACTTTGTTTTCTCTCCAAACTGCTTTGACACCTTCCACTGCCACATCTGCCTTTCTGTCCTTGACACACATGCACAGTAGTGGTAACTGGGGTAGGCCGTGGACGTCACAAGACATTATACAGACAGGCTCTGGTATCATGGCTACCCAGCAACTGAGCTCAAAAGTGAGGGATCATTTTAAGAAAACGATGGTTATAACGATGTATAACGATATATAACGATGGTTATATACTGTAAAAGCAACTGCATTCTGGCACGATAAGCTCTATGTTTTATATTCAATTAACGTATGATCCGATTAGTTGACTAATCGAAAAAATAATCGGTGATTAATCGATTATAAAAATAATCGTTTGTGGCAGCCCTACTGTGGATCCTTAAAAACTCTTAAAAGACACTGAATTCATCACTTCAAAAGGCCTTAATTAGCCTTAAAATGTCTTAAATAAACCATTCAGGGATCTCAAATTTTTTTTAAACATTTTATTTATTTTTAAAATAATTTACTGAATGCTTCTCGCAGCTCGTTGGTTTGTGTTAAAATAAACATTTGGATGAAATTGTCACTGTTCTTGGTTAGTTTGGTCTTAAATTTCATTTGAAGTGGCATTAAAGAGGCATTAAAAAGTCTTAAATTTAACTTGCCTTAAGCTGTAGTAACCCTGTTC